ATTTACCAGTATACAAGATGAACGGAGATGTTAGGAAACTTTTTTCAGTTAAATTAGTCTTTAATGTTTCTTTCCCAACTATATACGATAACAGAACGTTGTTTTCTTCCAAGTTTTAGTGTATCACGTGCGCCATTTCACTACAGTAACATTACCTTGCAAAACATAGTCCGCGATAAAATGGTTCGTATTTACGTTTTTACCAGAGGTACATTACTTGGGGTTTGTAACTACGGTGACATGATACCAAGATCCCGTCACAATCTCGCTCTCGCATAAGCGTTCCAACTCAGAAAAAATGCGAATGCGCATGCCCGAGGTAACTAGGATACTGGGATGTCCAGGTGGATCAAAATAGCTGCCCACGATATGACGGATTACGAGAACTATATTTTCTGTACATTTTCGATGTATTACATTTTTCACTATGATAGTGACAAGAAAAGTTTATTTTTTTCATTACAAACCTTGAACATTGATATGCGTCATGTCAGAAGGTCGTAGCCTCAGTCTCGCTATCTACGAGAAGAGACTTGAATGGGATCTTGACATGATGTCACCATACAGTACTATGCGAGTTGCAAACCCCAAGTAATGTACCTCTGTTTTTACTTAAGTCTGACATTAATAAATAGTTCGGATGTCACGTACGTTTTTTCCCACTTTTTGTAGTTCGGTTTCAAATGAAACAACCGCGGAAAAATGGCCGTGCGTAGTGAGGTGATTGACCACAAAATTGAAGACTGCCTGTGGCAGAGGCACTATTGCGTAAAGCGCAAAGGCCTCTGGGAAGGAGATTGGCAGGTAACTAGTAATCGCCATATTGTTCCATTTGGGCCGGTTTTCCGGCCGGAAGGAACGCGACTGGGTGACGTAATTTGAAAACATTCCAAGTTCCGTTTTGCGTAAACGTGTCTGTAATGCTACAATAAAGCCTTGCTCATACATACTGCCTACTTAGATTTACAGATTTGATATGTTCTGTGCAAATTTATAACAAAAGAAACAATTCTTTTTATTCGCCCAACTTTCGAAAGTAAAAGGAAACCCCTGAACGGCCACGAGCGTAAGCGCTGACGTCAGGTAACTAAGGTCACAGTCCCTGTTGAGGGACTGTGCTAAGGGAAATGGAACAAGCAACGAGAAAGTGATGTACTAATCAGAATGCCGGATTCGTTACTAGTTACCGGCCTCTTGTGGCTTGGTACGCCATGACACTTGAGACGGGAACCAGCCAACACAAACCTGTGATCGGTGTAGAAGACGCCGAACTACAGCGTCAATGCCCACAGACTAATTTAAATATTAATGACCGGACCTACATTTTGCTTTGCCATGAGTGCGTTCGCGTCGCTCCGTGAGGGTGCCCCAAACGACGTGGCAGAAAGTAGATGTATTGGTCCGTTGCTATGTGAGCGAAAATCGTATAAAATGTATAAAATTTATTTTGAAATCACGCCCACTGGCATTTTATGTTTGAGAAAATTACCTAAACACGTTTGTACTTATCGATTTCCTAGTTCGCTATCTCTTTTCTAACAGTTGTGACGTCAAATACTAGTAGCAGGCGAACGAAAACTGGGCAGGCGCGAGGCGCCCGCGTCACCCCGAGGCAACTACGCGAACGCACAGACGATTTGAACTGACGATTCACATCTACGTCTCCTACCTCACGACCTACTTTTTCATTATTTTAACATTTTGAAAAGATTTTAGCACTGAATGTAAAAATATTTGACATATTTATTTTAAATAACACACATTTTTTTCAACAGAAGCTTAGGATATCAGAAACAAATGAATTAAAAAAAACGCGGAATACCAACAATTTTGGTGTAAAATGTTACCTGTGGCAGAGTCTAGTTGCAGCTCTCTGTGGCTCCCTAGGTCAAGAAGACTCTGCAAGGGAGAGTGATACTTTCGGTGATCTAACCGAAAGGAACTCTGGGAAGGAGAATGAGGTTTGTGCTGGACAGCGCTTCCGGTGACGACACAACGGTGTCATTGTTTACAAACAAGCGTCCACCCATGAGCCTTTGCGTTTTTAGCGTGTGTCGTTATCGTCGCTTGGAACGCAATTCCCGCGCGCGCAGGTGACGACGCCTCCCCGCTTTAAAGTACTCTTTCACTGCCATTTTCAGACTGTGTCGTCATTTAAAAAATAGCTTTACCCAATAGCTCAATAACTACCTGCCATTCAAAATTATAGTTTTCATGAAAGCATGCAACTTACCAAAATACCAAGACATAATAATGGCGGAAACGTAAAAATTAAATTAGGTAGACGATAAAAAGCGTAATGGCATTAAACAACTGAACGACCTACCGAAACTTGAGTACGTCATGTACAAGCCATACTCGTCACTGGATATGCTGACGTCATCGCTAACGAACTCGACGTAAAGGGCGCCACCAGAGCTGGTTATAGATTCGGGATTTTCGACACCACACCATTCAACTATCAGCTGCGACGTTGAATTCCAACCTGCCACAAATCATATAAATTCATTTCAAAGAGATACGAGACTAAATTGACAACACAGTCTGTGTTGCAGGAAAACAAATTGAATTGCGTGTCGCAAAATCGGATAATCCGACTTGCTTGCATTTAAACATTGATTGTAGCTTGTTTCCATGGCAGAGCATTTATTATTAGCAAATCATCTATAGCGTCTGACAGGGCATTACTGTTATATCCAATCATCTATAGCGTCTGACAGAGCATTTATTATTATCAAATCATCTATAGCGTCAGACAGGGCATTTATTATTATCAAATCATCTATAGTGTCTGAAAAGGCATTTATTATTATCAAATCATCTATAGCGTCTGACAGGGCATTTATTGTTATATCCAATCATCTATAGCGTCTGATAGGGCATTTATTATTATCAAATCATCTATAGCGTCAGACAGGGCATTTATTATTATCAAATCATCTATAGCGTCAGACAGGGCATTTATTATTATCAAATCATCTATAGCGTCTGACAGGGCATTTATTATTATAAAATTATCTATAGCGTCAGACAGGGCATTTATTGTTAAATCTAATCATCTATAGCGTCAGACAGAGCATTTATTATTATCAAATCATCTATAGCGTCAGACAGGGCATTTATTATTATCAAATCATCTATAGCGTCAGGCAGAGCATTTATTATTATCAAATTATCTATAGCGTCAGACAGGGCATTTATTGTTAAATCTAATCATCTATAGCGTCAGACAGGGCATTTATTGTTAAATCTAATCATCTATAGCGTCTGACAGGGCATTTATTATTATCAAATCATCTATAGCGTCAGACAGGGCATTTATTATCAAATCATCTATAGCGTCAGACAGGGCATTTATTATTATCAAATTATCTATAGCGTCAGACAGGGCATTTATTGTTATATCTAATCATCTATAGCGTCTGACAGGGCATTTATTATTATCAAATCATCTATAGCGTCAGACAGGGCATTTATTATTATCAAATTATCTATAGCGTCAGACAGGGCATTTATTGTTAAATCTAATCATCTATAGCGTCTGACAGGGCATTTATTGTTAAATCTAATCATCTATAGCGTCTGACAGGGCATTTATTATTATCAAATCATCTATAGCGTCAGACAGGGCATTTATTATTATCAAATTATCTATAGCGTCAGACAGGGCATTTATTGTTAAATCTAATCATCTATAGCGTCTGACAGGGCATTTATTATTAACAAATTATCTATAGCGTCAGACAGGGCATTTATTGTTATCAAATCATCTATAGTGTCAGACAGGGCATTTATTATTATCAAATTATCTATAGCGTCAGACAGGGCATTTATTATTATCAAATCATCTATAGCGTCTGACAGGGCATTTATTATTATCAAATTATCTATAGCGTCTGACAGGGCATTTATTATTATCAAATTATCTATAGCGTCAGACAGGGCATTTATTATTATCAAATCATCTATAGCATCAGACAGGCCATTTATTATTATCAAATTATCTATAGCGTCTGA